AATTTTGTTGTGTGGATATAACGCAAGAAGTTGTGTCCAAGCCACGCAGTTCAGCAGGTGCTGGTGGTTCCAGGGGATTCTCACGAACAACTTCCTGGGATCTTGCACCTCAGGCAGACTCTTGGTTAAAGTTGTAAGTACCTCTTCACCATGCGACTGCACCTGTTTAATGGCTCATTAGATTTTGAAGTTTGTCGTGAAAAGAGTCGAGGCTCTAGTTTCCGAAGCAGCAGACGATTCCCCCGGGTGGTACTTTTTGGTGTGCCAATTGTAACAGATCTTGGATTCCCGAGATTTTTCACCACAAGGCCTTCTGTGCGCAAATCTGGTATCCAAACGCGTTCTCCAGGAGACAGTTGTTCACCCTCAACGATCTTGTGTCTGTGATTGTTGAGGTGTGCCGTATTTCCCCTATCCGTTTTCTTTTCCCCTGTATACTTCATCGAAGTATGCAGGCGAGAGAAGCAATTTGGGTAGCAGTTTATCTAGATGACATGGCATTCTTTGTTTTTAGTTTGGAGCCCATTCTCAACTGTGCAGGTTACTGCTGCACAATTGCTGGCTCAGCTGTAACAAGTTTCCGGAAGGAGCTTAGAACGGTTAAAGTTAGCGATCGAAGGTTTGTTGTTAGTTTTCATCCGCAAACAATGGTAGTATTAACTCATTAAAACATTCTGTATAAAATCCGAAATAAAAATTGTGATTATTCGTCTCAGGGGCACCTCAATGCTAAGCAAGACTGCCGAACAAGGTGAGCCTTGGATGATCACACTAAACAGTACATGCCCAGTTTTTTGCTCCACAGATTTTATTTACATTATATAAAACTCTTACTTTTCCTGCGACCTAAAGTAACATTTCTTAACCACAAATACGTAAATGAAATAAAGAAAGCATCAACGACCTATGATACATTGCTTGTTTTACAATGATCCAGTCCACGTTACTATCGAAAAGATCATAACTAATCATTTCATATTTGAGGATTAATTCCAGAGTTCAGTAGCACAGAACCTTTTCTTCGATTCCTCCTGCCTACAAACCACCAAGGGGTTCTAAAAAATTTATACGAATCTCATCCGTTGACAAAATTGTTCACTTGCAACATACATCTCAAAAGAAAATAGAACTAGCCAATAAAGTTCGTTAATTGCCTCTGTTGCGGAGGAATGTTTAACTTTATCAAGGATTAATTTAGCAGCTTTGTTTTGCAATAACTGGACTTAAGCCATTAGAATTTTGTTGTGTTTGTCTCCTCACACAATATCACTATAATCCAAGAGAGGCAAGATCATTGATTTTATTTAAAGTTCTCTAGTGTGTATTGACAATAAATTTTTGATCCTTCTGAGAATGCCAAGTCGTTGATTTACTTTGGTTGAAATGTAATCAACATGATCACTGCAAGTCAGGGTTTCATTTATAATAATTCCTAAGTATTTGTAACAATCTGCCTCGTCAAGGAACTCGTCACAGACTTGTAGGCTAATTTTCCCGAGGGACTTCAGCCTTTGTGAGCTCCTAATTATCATAAACTTAGACTTGGCTGCATTCAGTGTAAGTTTATGGTCATTAAGCCATTCTGCTACACTAGCAAGGTCCTCATTCAGCATTTGTTGTAACTCTGTGGAGGATTTCGCGGACAGTATAAGGCAGTATCATCTGCAAATAGAGTAACAGATGTGTGCTTTAGGCATGTAGGCAAGTCATTGATATAGATGGAGAAAAGGAGCGGACCAAGAATAGATCCTTGTGGTACTCCAACAGAGATATGTCTGTTACAGAACGTTGCTTGACCAATAACTGTTCTTTGAAAACGAGATATCAAATAGGATTGAAACCAGGCAAGGCTAACCTTAGACACTCCTAGAGCTTTAAGTTTATGAATTAAAATTGTGTATTCTACCGTGTCAAAGACATTTTTTAAGTCTATGATGATTCCATTTACGAGACCATTGTCCATATTTGCAAGCATTTCATCAGTAAATTGTGTCAAGGCAAGGGGTGTTGATTTACCTCGACGGAAACCAAATTAATTCTTTACAAGTAATTGATGAGACTTCAGTAAGGCGTAGAGTTGTGTATACATTGCTCTTTCAATCACTTCACTTACAGTTGGAAGTACGGATATTGGTCTATAGTTATCCATATTCGTTCTGTCACCTTGTTTGAAGAGGGCAATCACCTTCGCACACTTCTAATGAGAAGGAAATTTACCAATCTTCAAGGAATGATTAATGATATAAGTTAACGGAGGGGCAATGACCCAGGCTGCGTCACGTAAAAGTCGAGCACCGATCTTGTCTAGACCAATAGCTTTGTTTGCTCTCATCTTGCTTAATCCCTTATGGACGAACGTTTCTGATATCGGATTCAGTTTGAAGTCATAAGCACTAGTAACATCTTTCGATGCCGCAAACGATGTATTGCGGAACGCCTCGGCAAGATATCTTCCAATGTTCGTGAAATTTTGATTAAGATGCTCTGCAATATCAATAGTACTAGTGTTGACTTTTCCATTAGAGAAAATGGCGTTGGTATCCATAGTATTCGATGGTAAAGTTTGCTTGATCGCCTTCCATATCGAAGAGCTTTCGTTCTTTGAATCTTTAATTTGCTTACAATAGTACCGTGATTTGAGAGATCTCTCTTCCCGATTTGCAAAATTTCTCAATTTGCGATACATTCCCCAATGATACTGAGAGTTTGAGGATAATGCCTTTCCTCGACGAAAGTCACGATCGCGTCTCATTTCCAAAAGTTTGTCAGAAACCCAAGGGGTTGGCATTCCTTTAACGTGCCTTGATTTAAGAGGTGCGTGATGATCCACACAATCTTAGAGAGCTTCTCCCAAAGGAACACAGTATCGTCAATGTCACCGACTCCCTCAGTTATGCTCCATGAAACTTGTTTTAGGTCAATAATGAATGCTTTCTTCTCGTAGCTTTTGAAAGACCGATATTCAAAGACCTTTGGCGGTATTTTCTTAACGCCTCCTTTCATCACACAAAAGATTGCACTGGGATCACTAATGCTCGAGTTTAAAACATCGCACTGGACTATTTTGTGATTGTTATTGACCAGAAGCAAGTCTATTGTACTTTTGGATGTCTCCGTGACTCTGGTGGGCCTGGAAATTATATGTGTTAAATTGAATGAAAAAGCGCAAATTCGTCCAACCTGCAACGTAAGGGATTTTTCTTTTGCTGAATAATCAACATAAAAATCACCAAGGATGATTGTTTCAACTTTATCCAAGTCTGTATTATCCAAAATACGTGTCAGAGCTTTCACAAAATCTTCAATGTTCAAATAGCCTGGTCTACAGACGACACCGACAGCCATGGGCTTGCAGAACCGTCTGTTGATTTCGATCCAAAGACATTCAAAGTTATCTTCCACAAAGTTAGCTTGGCGAATAAATGGGATACCGTCTCTAACATAAATAAGAACACCACTGCAAGCTTTCGACGAATTCTGTCAGTCTTTTCGCACAATTGAGTATCCCATGATAGAAATTTCGCTATCGCTGATTTCAGATGTAAGCCAAGTTTCAAATAAAGCCAAAATATCGAAGGAATATTTTTCAATCAGTTCCTTCACACTGTCTAGTTTGTTGAAAGGGCGGTTGACATTCAAGTGGTCGACTTTAAATCCTCGCAGCGTACGTATTTCTGGATAATTTGTTTCGTGAAGATTAGAACAACTTCAATGAGAACCATCATCCATATCAGGCAAGTGTGAGGGGAGAGAGCAAATGCATATTGTGCAAATCCAATTCGCCGAGGGGTCAGATACAATAACGGAGTATTCACATTTCTTCGTGCCGATACATTTAACATGATACCAGTTATCACAGTCGTCACACTGAATCGCTTTTTTGGTTGTTCCTACATCCCTTGTTACACAGAAAGCATGGTTCTTTAACAGAACCAGGATTTCGGTTGACGTCTCCAGATAGCAATTTCAAAGATGCACATAGTGATGCGTTCAGCATGTGAAGTCCTGCTAACGCCTTCAAAGGCGAGGGAAGAGTCGGTCCACAACGTCGTTGGTGCCGAAGCGTCGAATTACGGCTGGGATATTGCATGTAATTTAGTTCACGAGCAATAAGTAAGAACGAATCATCGTTACAAAAGTTCCTATCTATCTTAAATGTCGTGAATAAAGTAACTTAAACGATAATTTTGCAGTGAAAGCGAGCGCAAAAGTTTGCGAGATTCGTGAAGTAATGCTTTTCCCATTTAATTTGCAGTGTCTAAACAAGACACAAGTTTACCATTAGACTCTAAATCTTGCATGGATGAAAATGATAAGGAACTCCAAATCAAGATTAGTCGGTATTCTGTATTCATCAGACCCCATGACAACCCGAGACCGTCCCCAACAGTCTAGAGGGATTGCTTCTCAACATGAGCACAATCCCAGAGATTGCCAAGCCACGCCCACTAATTCAAACTTCAATTCATTGATCTACGGGTAAGAGAGTGGTTCGACTGCGAAGATGGAAAAGACAGCGAAGAGGTAAGGTTTGTTTTTAAACGATTTTAATATGGTCCGCAGGTATCTTAGGATAACTCTTCAACCATTCTTGCCAGAATGCGACCTTAGTTTTTCACCACCTAATCCTGTTGATTCTGATCGTGAAAAGAAAAACACCAGACACCGGTGGAAGACAGTTTTGGTGTCTCCTTACAAATGCAACACGATTGATTCCTTAGTCCATCACCGTTTAAAAAATGTTGACTTCGATGGACGACATTTACTAAGGTTTCCTTAACAAACTTAGAGAGATTTTTTCGACTCTATCTGCGTCAGACATTTGCTTCCAAAACAACTGCACTCTTATAGCTCCCATACAATATCATTAATTTTTTTAGCTTTGGACTTCCGGTATACAGATGGACTAGATGCGCGACTGGAACATAATACTGTACATTCAACAAATATATTCTGAATACAAGTCTGAGATACCCTACTATCAAGTTAGACAACTCAAGTTGTTATTAATGGACTTTAATTTGCTAAACTAACTTGGCCATTTGCATTTATCCTTTACAGGAAATATCCTTATTGGAAACTTGGGCCAATAATACTATACATTCAATCTCCACTTTAAAAGAATAAAATGTTCTATCTACGCTGTCAAGGTCTATAACAATACATCTGTACATTTAAGAGACTCCACTCAATCCTAGTTTGTTTCGGCACCATCGTCTGTACCACAAAAATTTGCAGGGGGACAAACAACCCCCATCGCCAACATCACGATTTCGTCACCCTTCATTTTTTTACCACAAATTATAGTTCAAAACCCTTACTATGCTTCCTACGCATCTATACTGACACTTAACACTAAGCTTGTGGTGAAAGGAACGTATCTAGGGGTGACTTCAGAGAAATCAGAAAGAACAGTTTTCCAATTTCCCAGAAATAAAATTTAAACGTAAGGGGGAAAAACATAAGAAAGTGAAGTGTTTCTTACATTAAAATTGTTTTGTATAACCTATTTCATAACGCAAACTTCAGAACAAAGGCACCTTGATTGACACCTATCCAAACTGCGGCACAAATCTATGGTCGAAACGACTAGAAACTCATTCCCTGAAAGGGAAACAATCCTCGCAACGAGCACTCATGTCATTGGTTACTGCAGTGTTTGATCGTTGAAAATTTGAATATTCTACGGTACAAAGAGCAATTCCAGAAACTTACAGAAGACTTCACAAACAGAGCGTATACGAAACCATCCCCTGATATCATCAAGCCAAGTTACAGTAATTTCTTTCAAGATCTCAGTTTAACAATTCAAATTTATCTGGTGGCAAACTTTCCACACAATTAGATCATTATATATATCTCAATATATCTTTAATTCTAGAACCTAAAAGCCTGATGTTGATGCAGATCACTCTCAATAATTAAAGGTGAATAAAGAAGTAGAAATCTTAAATAAAACTCCACTACAAGAATCCTTCCTATAATTTAAAATAACGATAAAAAAGAAACATTGCAGACTAAAATGCCTTCTCTCGCCTGACTTAAATTGAAATTTGAAACTTATTCAAGGCTGTGCCAGCACAAAGCTTTGATAACAGTAAATTGTTCGAGGCTTCAGATCTGTTGACGCCTCATCCCTGAAGCACGTCGACATCAAAAGCCGCACTGGTGGTCATAAGCATATCATGGGGACCATTCCACACAGTCTGTGCTGGTTCCATGTCGTACTAAAACTACAAAAGCAAAGAGGCGAGTGTCCCTTAACTAGATCTGTGCCTGTGACTCATACTCCGCACCGTCGTCGCTCCAGTAGGCCCTGTTGTTTGTTAGGTTCCTTCCCTGACGCCAATGCGTCGTATCTTCGTCACGTGAGCGGCTCAAGTGCCGAGAAGAAGCCGTGGAGGAACGGTACCCACTGGAGGCCTGATAACAAGAAAGGCGAGAAGAGCTAGCAACTGATTGGTCGATTAAGACGAACCTAATCACTGTAAGATTACTCTCGGGTGCCTGGTTTGAAAACATCATTTGACTACCAAACACAAGTGCAGCTGATGAATAACATACTCTTAAAAGTACCGCTAAAACGTAAAGAACAGCTTGAGGTGTGGTTGTTCAAAGCGTAATTAACACAAAGTTTGAAGTAGCATGACTACTTATGCTACACTTAATCAATTATTTTGGGAAACCCTAGCACCCTAACAAATAGATAGCAACATTTCCTGGTCTGTTAACCAAAAATCTGCAAAAGAAAATGGTCAAGAGAAAACCACATGCCGACAAACAGCCGATGACATCAGTACACAACCGAGTTTTCACAACAAACGAGTTACCAGTATGAAACAAGGAATTTCAACACTACGTATTGAAGACACAAGAAAACCACAGAATCAAGTGAATCTGAGATCATCTCTCAACGTCAAGTACAAAATTTTATCACTGACAGATCTCTGGCAAACTAGAAAAAGTGAGAGGTAACGAGAATGCTTCACTAACTATCTCTTAAGAGAAAACGAGTTATCCGCCACTGAACCTCCACCCAAAACCAACAAAAGAGCAGCCAGCAGCTGACCAATCACTATTTACAAACCAATAACAAAAGCATCATAATGACCAACCAGCCAACACTTGAATGACCCACTGTTTCTTATGACTGTAGGTACTACATCGCTCAAGTTTGTCGCAACGCGTCGCCGACAGCGTCCTTCTTTATATTAATCTTATTCGCCCGGATTGGAAACAACATTAAAATCATGGCGAAGTTTGTGCTTTGGTCAATTAGCTAACGAACAACCACACCAGAGCAAAAACAGTTCAGACCATATTGCAAACATTCATGAGAAGGAAAAAGTAAAAAAATTCCCGAGCAAGAAGTACCAGTGTGCCAAGTATAAAATCTTAATCTGTTAGAATCGGATCGACGAGTTTTTCCGTTTTTCCTTTTTTTATTTAATTGGCTGCGAAGAAAACCAAAATACAGTTCAGGAAATGAAAATGTGTAAACAGACAATATAATAGACGGTGTTCATAGTAACACAGCGGACTAAATAGCACACTGAATAACATAACATATCTTTTAAGTGCTGATTTAGTACAACGTCGTTAAATTTCCTTACAGTGTACTTTAAGTTTAAGAGGCTTATCATATTAAACAAAAACTCCACGGCTTCGGCTCTCAAAGCACGCAAAGTACGACTCGAACGCTGCGCGTTGGAGTCCAGAAGGTGATTAAACTTTATCTATTCTATAATAAGGCGTTCTACACTACGTGTTTAAGCTAGTTGTTTGATGGGTGCACAAGAAAACCGAATGACTTACCACGTGCTATACGTCGTAGCATTCGGTGCCAATTGCGAGTTCTGGATTTGTTAGAATCTTAAGTAAAATTAAATAAGCTTCAGTTACTGGTTAGAAAGTGGGGGTGGAGGGAGTTATTCAATACAGACAATAGGCCATGGGAATGAATACGCACACAAAAAAAGAAAAACAAACAAACAAATTCACACATCCGTGCATTAGATAATGTGTGTGTTTAACGCTATAAATAATCTGTCACAAGTTTAACTTCATTGTACAGTCTTATGTTTATTTAAGTGTTTAAGGAATGATCATAGTGGCGAAACTTCACTACTCGAAGTCAAATTTTCTCTCGCTTACTCGAATTGTTTAGCAAGCCTAAGCGAACGTGACGCTACATCTAATGTTTGATTGGGGCTGTGAATAACGCTTGTTGATGGGGAATTCGATCACCATTCACATTTTCTTTCAATTTAAACTACACTTATAAAATACTTTGTAACAGGTTTGTAGTAAAACGGAATTACGTTTTAACCCTTATAACAACAAGAATATCTCAACTAAAATAAAAACATTCAGTACTATTATAAACCCCGATAAAAAAACGCATTTCAAATATCAACCTCTTGAGATCACGAGTGCGAGATTATCATAGTTTTTAGATCAGCACCTACTGCATGGAGACTGTCATCAGCACACAAACAGGAAAAGTAGAAGAAAATAAATACCAAGCTATTCTAACTACAGGTCAAAATGAGCATAACAATGCATTGTCAAAACGTAATCCAAACACAAAATGCAAAACGTTACCAACACCGAAGTATTCACAAACGTGACACTGGTAAACAACATGAACTTACCAGTGAACTCCTGTTTCGAAATCCAGACATCGAGGACGAACGACCGCCTGAGTCCTATCAAATTTATAAGCAAAGGAAGGTACGAAGTCAAATGCAGCAGACTGATGGCTAATTGATTGACACAACGTTAATATAACCTATTCTCAGACAGTGCCCTGAACTTAGCTCACGCTATGTCATTGTTGGTACAAGTGGAAGGCACCTAAATCTTAAATCACAACGACGAGAGAAAACGTATACATAAAACATCATCCTTCTGACAATTAAGAATTGGCTCACGCGTTAGCATGCCTTCACCAGAGCGATGAAGCACGTGGGAAGTTTGGAGAGAACGAAAGATGCGTAAGAATTGCCAAAGCATGCACAATGAGAAAGTGGTGCAAGCTCGCGGAGTTGAACTTGATTAAATAAACTTTACCAACTATGTTAGAGCTAAATTCGACACTTTTCTCTGATTTGTGTATTCTGGTTTACATCAGCACAACATATTAACAACATCCACCTTATGAAGAAACAAATAAGAACTTCCTACCATGTTGTCCTCAGAGGCTAAATAATCGCTTGTCTCCGATAAACGAGCGTAATCTAGAGGAAAAATTAAAAAAAAAAAAAAAAGGAAAGAATAGAAGAGACATAATCAATGACACAACAAATCCAAAAAATGGCTGTGATTCTCTTTACTGAGCAGAAAAAATTAGTTCCAAAAGCTGCCTGTAAATAAAATTTCACCCTTAAGAGTGATCCCAAAGCATGTTTATAATTGTTTACCTGAGTCAAAGTCGATGGTAGATGTTGGGGAGCTGGGTCGAGGTGAGTCTGAATGAAATCCGCCTGAGAAACTATCGTCATTAACAGCAAACTGGGAACCAGGAAGTTCTCGTGTGCGACGAGATGATGATCGACCCTGCTTTAAGCGCTGAATCTGAGAGTTAGCTAACTGAAGATCACATCGCAACCTAAAACAAAAAAAAAGTGAAAACATGTTTGAAGCACGAAATATGAACGCGTAGAAGCAAACAGAAACAAGGACAGAGATGGAAGCAAAACATTGGAGTTTTAGATGTCTTAAACGATTCAATGCATGACTTAAGAATTCGATTTAGAAATGAATATTGAATAATACTGAATGTGCTGTGTTTGAGTCACAATACTCAGCGAGGACATTCCCTGTTGCAAGAGAAGGGAAGGGACGAAGAGAAAGTGCCTTATCTGATCTTAGAAAGAGATAGACCAAAACATGCTTGCATTCAAAAAAACAAACAACAAAACCACAAAAACATCCACAAGGAATAAGCTCACCTGTCTCGCACCATATCTCGATCAGTTATAACTCCCTGGAAAAATTAAGTAAAAAACTCATTATGAGTGAGCTTACAAAGCGACAGAACAAAACAGAACAGACAGTATTTTCAAGAGCTACTTACGAGTAACGTTGTGAGTTGTTCATTAAGCACCGATGTGGACGAAACGAGTTGTTGCTGCAAGAGAAAACAAAGATAATCTTGTACGTAACACTAATAAGTAGTTCATACTGAAGCAAGGTGATGGATCTTAGACAAAATGCGCCTTTCTCTAAGGTTTATTCGTAGTAAAAGGAGCCTCATTCACTCATTATACCTTTTCCTACTTTCACTTACATATTTAATGATTACCTTTCACAAAACTAATTACACTGTAAGAGTAAACACAATGTTCAACAGTAGTATGCATTGTTTGTCTTCCTCACACCCGCTACATTAGTAACTAGTGGTATAGACTTCACTAATCTGCCTCTATAAGTTAAAATCTACACCAAGAGCTTTTTGAACTATCATCCTTGGAAAACTGCGCATTACAATATTGCTCAGGATCTGAACCAACCTGAGGTGAGAAGTCACCCTGAATGCCACCATATCCGAGGTGTCCCACTCCCCTAGACATGTCATCTATATTTGGGTTAAGCACATCGCTGACCGCTACTGTCAAACGATTCGCTGTAACGAAAAGCAAAGTAATTACCTCCATGATAATAAGGCGAACAAAGTCCGTTGCAACAATAGACCACCTCAGTCGTAGTTGAAATTCTTAAATACAGTGCGTTAAAATGCGTTAAAGCACGAAGTCTTTTTTTTCAGTTATAACGAAACAGTTAGGTGAAGTTCAAGATTAATACCAATGAGTTGACATAACTTGAACAAAGAATTAGAACTCGCAAATATTTCGACTTTGAGCTTGAGTGCTACACCACACAGCTCACAAGAGCGAATACATAACAAACGGCTCGCATTTGTTTTATTTCATCGGGAAAGCGTCTCTAACCATTAACAACATGAAAATTTTGAGCTTGAACACCGAACATTGGTAAGCCAAAAGAACAAACAACAACAGTCAAAGAGCCTGAGTTAAAAGATCAACATGCTGGTTCGTCAATTCCTTTCCACACAAGCAAACAGTTCGGAAACATGACACATTTGAAACTCACCCTGAAGAATTGCCGCTAAAATTAAATCCCTGCAAGAATAACGAAGCATTGATTATCAACGAAACCTACAGCAACTGTACAATGTAACGAGTTACGTTACATCATTACAAGATCAAAGTGCTCTGTGAGCAAACTCGTGAATTGACACATGATTTTTTAGATTATGTTTAATGTTATCTGGTTTAGGGAATTTTGTGGTTGATTGTCATATCTAGAGTACGAGCAGTAGTTCAGTGTTCGCTAATGTAGCAAAGAAACAAAGTAACGTTGGGATAAGAAGGCATTACAATTGAAATGATCATGCTATTACGTTTGACAAGGTGGATGATGTCATGTGTTTTAAACGTCTACCATTTTTGTTTCTAGTTCAAAAGAAAAGGTTGGAAGTAAATGTGGGTGAAAAGTGAAATTTACTGTCTTTCGTTGTAAATATTAGAAAATCAAGGCAATACTGTCTTAATGAAAACATTAACGATTCCCTCTTTATCAAATGAGACAAACGGGAACGAGTTTTGAGTGATATAACTAAGCCAAGTCTGCCACCGTCATTTTGGATCTCCGCCTGGGTAGATTTAAGTCACGTGCTAGGCAACGTATAATCAATAACAAGATAGAATTTCATTTCAGGCCTATTTATCAATTTTGTGGTGTGTAACTTTCGCATTTTAGTACGTTGTATGTATGTTGAATCTTCAAATTGTCTTGAAACTTAAAAGAAAATTGTTCTTTAAAAATTCACTGAAAATCGGTAGCTAAAATTGTTTGTTTAGGTGTTATTTGATTTTCGTGTTAACTTGTTATTTCGTCAGTCGCCGGCATCTTCTGTTGCTTCACACAGGAAAAACACACGCGACGAAACGTAATGATCAATTTTGTCCTCAATCTCACGCTATAACAGAAAAAGCTTTTGAACACCTGTAAACTCCGAGCGCTTAGCAGTAAGTGATATTTTCAATGAATCTTCGGATTGTTTTCAAGTTCAAGGATTGTAAATTACAATTTTATGAAAAACGAAGGTTGTTCTGTCATTTCAGTGTGAATCCTTGCATGCCTGCCAGTCGCTGGCGCCGCTTGTTGAAACTAAAACGAAAAAAAAAACTCTTTTAAGATTATCATTGGCTTCTTTTTCACCCCACCACTATTCTTAGCAACAAAGGTCGCCATTTCGTCTGTTTATTGCTCGCCAAAAACTATAAAATGCACTCAAAAGCCTAAAATCTAAAAAAAGTTTACAGGAATCGACCAATCGAGCGAGCGAGCGAGCGAACGAATGCCATTCCCCACATCGTATCTATAACTCGCTCTTGCGCATGCGCGCAATTCACGAGTTAAAAAAGATCCGAACAAGAAATGAAAGGGGACCAACAGAAAAAATTCCAAAGAAGGTAGTGTGATTAACAGATGACTCAGTGTACTAATGGTTTGTCGCCTTGCCGCGCACTTGCAATAGGACTACGTGAAAATTAGTACATGCAAAGTCAGATTTAAGTTAGTATCACGTAAATGTAGCAGAACTGTGTACCTAGCCTCCACTGAATCTCCATTCACGTGGCTCTGGAAAAAACAGACACAATTCATAATTAAAAAAAAAAGCAACACAACAAGAAACAAGTCACCAGTAGTTCTTTTTAAGGCCTTCGTCGAGTGATCTGTGCGTCATCACTAAAATAATCAACCACAGCACTACAAGACAAAACATTTGGAGACAGTTCAATCTATTAAGGTAAATTTAAAATTACAACAACCTGCAGTCGGCTCAAATCCTTTTGTAGCCTATTTCCACCTTCATTTCGACTTAAGATCCGAGCTAAGGAAAAGAGGAGGCTTACCTCATTCGTGGCCGATCCCATCGTCATGTTTGCCCCCTACAAATAAAATCACAATACACATGTAAGTGACTAGCATCTAACTCCACCGAATCACAAATTAAGTTATGATCATCAACTAAAGAAGCTCTTGGTTGTTTAACAAATTCTCCTTATTGGCACCCCAGGAAATGTATAGAGAACAGTATGCAGAGTATGCTTACTGATGTTAGTGTGTATAGGGCAAACTACTGTTTAACAAACTCTCCTTGTTGGCACCCTAGGAAATGTATAGAGAATAGTATGGAGAATATGCTTACTGATGTTAGGGTGTATAGGGTATAACTACTGTTTAACAAACTCTCCTTGTCAGCACCCCAGGAAATGTATAGAGATCAGTATGCAGAGTATGCTTACTGATGTTAGGGTGTAAAGGGTATAACTACCTTCCGCATAAACAAAGGCCACTCTGTCTTAAAGGCAATTCTATTTCTTTCACTAATTAGCTCCATAGACTAACAGAACTGTTACCCTGAGCTCAGCGACAAGTCTTGATTTTTCCTCTAGAATCTTGCGAAGATCGTTGTCTTTTGACCTCAGTAACTCTGTAAGAAAGCAAAACGAAACAAATCGTAACTATATTTCCATGAAAGCAAATTTTCTTCATGTATCAACCACAAAAGTGGTCAATCCTTTAAAACGAACACTTCATGATGGTCCAAGACATTATCAAGACATTATCCATAAACCCGTGTTTTCATCCTGTTGTGGCCAAACTGTCTCTCTATAGAGGTGGCATCGCCATCGAGGGCGATTCAAACTTAGTCCTGAATCTAATGTAACTAAAAAGTTCGCTTTACCGAAAAAAAATTTAAATAACTCGTAAACAGTTTAATGGTACATTCAGTGCAACAAGAACGCAAAGGTTACAGCTGAGCTGTTGATGATCACAACCGATTTCCGATATGTCAACGATTACATACTTAGCTAAGATCCCTGAAATTCCTTGTATGAAGCGAACAATAACCCAGCTAAATTAAACTTACAGCAAAGTACGAAAAAGATTCCGGGATAAACGCAGCTGGAATAGTTGCTTTATTTGTGAAAAAGAAGTGGACAGAGGAGACCTATAACACACTGTACAATTGTAATGTTCTTATTTCCTTCTCCACCGTGACCTTTAATCTACACACCTAAAAGCACAGCAGATGAACGGGAAGGATGCCCACCAACAGACTCATCTTGTTCATCAGCAGATATGTTCCCAATGCTTCTTCTTATCTTCAGCGTGTCGTTGGATGAGCTGGAGGATGACTCAGAAGTCACACTGTTTCGGTTCCTTTCCAGTAAAGATCTTTCATCCACACTCTCTTCATTCGTCAGATCTGCCACAGCCGCCCTATTGAAAAGTGAAGATCCGGCCGCTTCACCGTCCTCAGCTGAAAGAACCTGCAACAGATTATAACATCACGACTATGTTCTCGACATTTTCAAACTTTCATCGTTGGGCTCAGAGGGAAACGTCAAAACACTATACAAAATAGAGCATTATAAATATTGCTCTGCGATGACATAGCTACAGCAATTTAAATAACGCTATTAAGCAGCGCCAGTAACAACCTATCAGCTTCAATTTGAAATTTGGAGCATTAAAACTGCGGCGGTTTGAAGAAAAACCGGGTCAGTGGTGAAACCTTTTCTCTCTTGTATTCAAGGAGCTCTACCTGAGAACTCAAATATCACTCTCATTAGCTATGATCCATAAATTCATAGAAATGCTTACATCAGTTTCTGAATCGCTCGGAGGACTGGACTCAACTGTAGCCATTTGAATCTTAACTGGTGATTCGCTCTGTACTTGCACCTGTTCTTTAACATCCTTCTCTGAAACTTCGGTCTCTGTTTCCGGTTCTGAATCCGGTTCAGATTCAGACTCGAGTTGCGATTCTTGGCGACCAGTAGGTTCATTAATTTTAGGAACAGCTACTTCCTCCTGAGTGACTGGTGCCTCACTTTCCGTTTCTTCATCTTCATCATCATCTTCGTCCTGATTCTGAGTGCGATCTTCCTCGTCATCATCTCCTGGATCAGAAAAATCATCATCTGCATCAGTTTCTTTCTCTCTATCCTCCTCTTCTGCTTTAACATCTTCCTCCCTCGGCTTCTGTTCCTTGGCAGGTTCTTCCTTTGCTTGGTTGTTCACTCGTCTGCTGGGCAGCTCTGCGAGATCTAATTCCGATACAGGTTGTCGAACACCTTCAACTGATACTGCATTGCGACGACCTCGTTCTACACAAGATAAATTAAGATAACTACCATCACAGAAGTGTTTTTTTTGGGGCCACTGTTACCCGCCCGACAATTGCGCGAGGATATAATTTCAGTTTCCCTTATTCATACAATTTGCGATGGAGAGAGAATCTCAAATTCTTATCCTTTTCCATAATTTTAAAGGTAATGTCAATTCTACTTCATCATGCCCTTTTTATCCAGTATGACTTTCCTCTTATTTTTTTAATTTTCTAATACGGGTAACTTCGTAAGTCCCCTTTCCAGTTGAAGAATTAGAGTCCTATACAAATGGTTTAACATAAATAAATGAAGCAAACCTTTTATTTTGAATGCCTCCACAGCATCGGTTATGTACTTATACCAACTGTGGAAAGAAAGTACAATTTTCCTGTTAGCTGCTTTTTGACTACATCGATAAAAGGGCTCCTGAGAGGGCAAGTTCAAAATTCTACATGTAACTACCGTAATGGTTCGATGTAGCGCCCAGGGGCCTCAAGGGAGGGCGCTTATTAAGGACAAGGCGTTTATATCTTTTTTGAGAACAGCAGAATGTGCGAAACAAAGCTCTGATGTTTCTTTGAAAACGGACTTGTTATCCCGCCCTAGATCCTTCCTTGCTAGAACCATAAGCCGAGCAATCGCAAAATTTTGGACAAGATCATTCATTTGAAGGAACTGTGTACTCACTTAGACATTATAGTCAAGAGACTGAGACGTAGACAACTGTTTTTATAATAAGGCTTTAAGTGAGATATTAAAGGAAGATGATCCACATTAACCACATCGTACATGCATTCTACCAGTTCTATCAGAGAAACAGAATAGGGGCGCTTATTGGAATCAGAGTGCTAAGTCAATGGGGGCACTTGTTAGCAAACACCGTGGGGGCACTTATTAGAGAGGGGGCGCCTGTTAAAGAAGGGGCACTTATTAGAGAAGGGGGTGCCTATTAGAGAGGGGGCACTTATTAGAGAAAGGGCGCTTATTAGAGAAGAGAGGCTTATTAGAGAGGAGGGTTTACTAGAGAGGGGGCACTCACCAGAGAAGGGGGTGCTTATTAGAGAGGGGGCGCTTATTAGAGAAGGGGCGCTTACAAGAGAGGGGGCACTAATTAGAGAGGGAGGCTTATTAGAGA